GTGTTTGGAAAAATTCATTTATTAAAAACATATGCATTATGTAAATTAAATTACGTTTTTGCTTCACTAGTGGTTCCAAAGTGGGTCATATCGGAAATACAGAAAATATGTTTTGAATTTATATGGAATGGGAAAGATCGAATTAAGAGATTAATATTGTATCAAGGTCATGACGAAGGAGGGTTACGAATGACTAATTTAGACTCGTTTGTAAAAACTCAACGGGTAATGTGGGTGAAATGACTATTGTACGGAGAAAAATATACGAGATGGAAGCTATACTGATTTCTGCTTCAAGATGGTAGGGGGTAGATTTATGATTCCAAGTTATTCAGTTTCAAAGTACCTAAGTTCTATTTAGAAATGATAAAAGCATGGGAAGAGTTAGAAGGTTGTAGGAATTTTGAAGAAAAGAATAATCCAATTATTTTTAACAATAAAGATTTCTTATTGAAAAAGAAAATGATTTTTGATTAAGGGAGTTGTTTACACGCAATATAATTTCAATTCAAGATATTTTTGTTGAAAATGGCATGCGGGCAACATCTCATTTTCAAAATTTGAGGTTAAAAGGAAACAAAATTGTTGATGTATGGCATATTGGGGAAGCTATTTTGAGAAGCGGAAAAAAGGATAACTGGAGTTTAGTGGATGTAAAAGAGTATGATATTTTAATGCAGTTTAACAGTACTGTGAAGCTCCTCAGAGATGTATCATCGAGGAAGGTTTATGAATATTTTATAGAGAAGTTACAACATTTATTTGTCTTGAAGATTCATGATGGACGGGAATTTTCAGATTTTTCAAATAAGGTATGTAGGGAGAAATTTTGTAGGCCTAGGAAAGTTACTCTTGTTAACAGACTAAGAGAAATTCAGTATAAACTGCTTCATGGAGCAATATAAACTAGAGAACATTTATTCAGATTCGGCTTTGTTGTAGATAACTTGTGCTCATTTTGTAAGCAAAAGATAGAAACCTATTTACACTTGTTCTGGGATTGTGTACATGTTCAAAGATTATGGCAAAATGTAATAGCTAAGTTTGAGCTAAGGGAATTAAGGTCTATCGACTGGATAGATATTCATTTAGGGTTGTCCGGTAACTCCCCACGAATAAAGATTTTTAATACAATTATTTTTGCATTGAAACATTGGATATATAGATGCAGGGAAAAGTCCGTAATATTGTCTTTGGGGGAGTTTCAAAAAGAACTGTTCGAATTTAGGGAAAGAGAAAAGAAGATTGCAGGGAGGGCAGGTAAATTGGCCTAACATTTACAGAAGTGGGAACAAGTAAAGTTTTCATGAACTTTTAACACTGGACTATTGCGGCTATTGTAGCCTCGTTTTAATAAATGATTTTGTTTTAAAATGTCTTAAATAAATTGTTTCTGTTTGTCTGTCGCTCCAATTTGGGGTATTCTGAGGGGGCTAGGAACAGTGTGTGCATGGTGGAAGTGTGGTCGGGTGGTGTGTGTGTCGCATGGTGGGGAGCCGGGGGGGGGGGGAGTAGTAGTGTGTTTTGTTGGATGGGGTTATTTTGTTTTATGTAACAACTGATTTCATTCAATTTCATCAATTGTACAATGTAATGTAAATGTTTTGAATTCATGTCAAGGAAAAACAACTGTACTTTATTTCTAAAAATTAATTTGTATTGTTTGGAATCAATAAAAATAAACTATTGAAAAAAAGTGTGTGGGTGTGTGTTTGTGTGAGGGAGCATATGGAAACGTTTGCTTGTATTTGTCTCATAAAAGAAGTTGATCAAAAACTGACTCCCACACGGTGTTGAGTGCTTAGGGGTCACAGGCCACTGGCTTCATCGGGCAGGTAGTTCCATTACGTGAAACGGTAAATTAAGTATTACAAAATGAGGGGACACATTACATTGTACAATAGGGACACACATTGTTTTTATTGTGCAGAACATACTCTTTTATTGACTTAATTATTGCATGAAACTATAAAACCAAAATGCATTTTATATTCTAACAATTGGAGTACAAAGAATAATATCAGGTGAATAAAATGCATAATCACCACAAACACCTGGGGAGGAAACATTCATAAATTTGAAAACATATAGTTGATAAACGACTCCGATGAAACTATAAAACCAAAATGAAATTTATGTTCTGGCAATTGGAGAACAAAGAATGATAACAGGTGAATGAAATGCTTCAACAGCAACACAAACACCTGAGAAGCTAGGAAGCATCCATAAATTTGAATAATTGAGTTGATAAACGACTCCGCATGTGGACGTTTGTTGGAGCAGAAAGCAGTGGATTCTTAATAACACGAACCCATTTAACAGAATGTCGGAACGTAAATTAAATTTGGCGCATTTGGAAAATGCATATTTCTACCCTGCTACTTTAATGGTACGATCCAGTAAATTAAAACAGCAAAATGGCTCTTATTTCAAAATTACTCATTAAATAAAACCCAAAACTTCAGTGATATCAGAAAAAAATATGTTTAATCTTACTAATGGTTAAACAAAGATGTATAAACATTGTGAAAGTGTCGCATTTTACGATAAAAGACGCCGATTTAGCGAAGATGACTTCATTAGTGCGCCTGCATCAGGGAATTCAAGGTCAAAAGGTCAATTCAGACACTGATAAGTTATTGGTCGAGCCTTTTTGTTTCATTTATTCCGACAAAATTATACAATCAATCAAAACAAGTTTAATACCAGAAGAAAGCTAACGATTAGTATTTTCATTAACCGCTTGCCCCAAAGTCGCTTGACCACAGTAAAACGAGTGAGAGCTTGCGAGAGCGGCCAAAGTGTGATTTAAACTCGCTATTCGCTCTTCTCCAACGCAAAAAAGACGACATTGTGTTGGATAATTGTATTTTTCCGACAAAAGTGCAGAAAATTTGCATATGGTCTTTTTATATTATACTTGATGAAATGTTCCTCGAGTGACTTCCGGGCGCCACAATGCTGGAAAGAAACGCACATTTTATAAAACTTCACTTTTTCATGGAAAAATGCTTATTTGTTCTATGCACGCAAGTCAGATTGAGCGGATGATACAACGTTTCCATATGGGGGCAGGGAGGAGCAGGACTTTGTTTTTACCATTAAAATTACCCCAGATTTATTTAAGTTTTTTGTTTATATAGAGTGAATTACATGTACAATTGACTTATAAACTATGTTTATGTATTCTAAGTCTACTTTGTTTCTCAGTTATATATACTGCAAATTAATTTGATTATGTGTATGTGTAAGCAATTAATATTGAAAACGTTTATTTATTTTATTCAATTTTGTATGCTGTTCTTGTTTGTATTACATTTGGAGGAATAAAACAAAATCATTAAAAGAGAAAACAAAAATAATATTATTGTAATACATACAAATGGGATTTTGCATGTTCCATTTTTTTTTATTGGTGTACTGACAATCATAATTAAGTGAAAGAAAGTTGACACTGCTGGCTATTTAGAGAATATACATTGCATATTGAATTACATATTTACAGAAGTGAAGCAAAAAGCGTTGAATAGGAAATAGTTTCATTTTTTCGGCATGTAAAGATGTACAGGAAAACCCAAATTGTTTTTTTTTTCATAAGAAGAAACCTCGTCCCTATCGGGTCAAGTTAATAACACATGTAGCTATATTCAAGTTTTTTTTTATAATTGTTTCATCTTGTAGCTCACGTACGTCTTATTAACATGAAAACAGCATGAATTATTCTATATTTTCTTCTTTTTTATTATACGAATTGGTGCTTAAAAACTTATTTTACACTTTTGTCACTTTATTAATTACAACTCCGCCATACCCAAAGTAAAAGGCAAGTTAAAATCATGCCGTTGAAACTTAACTCAAACACGCTCCTCAAAAAGTATTTAAAAAGTTATTATTATTATTATTAGAAAGCTATTAAAAAAACACATTCATTTTTAATCACATCCGTAAAATAAGAGAGGAACTCGCTTTCGTCAGACTGATTTTAAGTCCGGAGGATTAATTTTAAATCCAGGAGATCTTTTTTTAACCGGGAACAAAACATTTGGATTTCAACTTAGATTATCATAAGACTTAAAATGTCATTCCCTCAAAATACTTATAATTCAAGACATGACATAATCTTTTAATCGTGTATTCATGTAAACAAATCGTAAGGTATCTTTAAGACTTAGGAAGGATTTAAAGTTTAAGTCCTAAATTAAAAGAGAAATTTAACTTTTAAGGATACCTACACAAACTTAAATACTTTAACTGAATCATGTTTTTTAAAAGAGTCATTTTACCCGAAACCAATTTCACAAAAAAGAGAGCGCAATGTTTTTTTTAATCATATTTTCTTTTGAAATACTGTAGGCGTTTGTTTATTGTGTATTATAATCTAATTTATTTCCATAAAATAAGACAATGTTACTGCGTGTTTTTCTTAGCACTTGAGAGAAACCCACATCAACGTCCAAGTAACGAGGTCAACATATTTTCCAGAATGGGTACGAGGTCTAAAGTTACTTCCAAAAGAAAGATATCACCTGAAATTTATAGTGATACAGGAACACTCATTTTAAAAGATGTCATAAATAATAACCCAGCATTTTTCATGGTTTAATAAATACTGTATTATATTGCGGATCATTTTCAGATTATGATATCTATCGAAATATTTGTATAAGTGTTCAGCATTTGTTTTAATGAAGCAAATTTTGAATACTGAACAAGAGCTCTATATGAATAAATAGATGATAGAAGATCTAAGGTCCATTACAGTAACTTGCACCCCCCCCCCCACCACTCAGTGTTATTTAGGGTACGCGTATGCATGTTCCCTCCTTCTGAAAACACCCCCCCCCCCCCCCCCAAAGTCCGGTGTGTAAAGTCAATACGGGCCGGATTTTTGTGTACTACGAGCCGGACTTTGGTGCGTGAAAAGTACACCTTTACCGGACATTTTGGGAACACGCATGGTATCCCTCCGTTCTCGGAGTGGGGGGGGGGGGGGGGGGCGGGACTTGCATATACCTCATTTCAATGCATAGAACCATGAAAACATTTTATTAAATGCATACGCAAGATTGCTGCTGAAGATTCTTTTCCCCTCCTCTAATTTCGTCCATGAATAAACAATGTAACGTCCAAATCATCTGTTGTATCTCTTCTTAATCTATAATATCATAATCGCTGTTTTCTGATGAATCCTCTGTAAACCTATTACGATCATTGTTATGTCCTACAGCACTGGGCAGAACATATTCATCTATGCTTACATCTTCCAGCGATGAGGATTTTGGGCAAATGGTTTTTATGTCCACGTGCTTGTGAATTAAATCTTGTTTCGTACGTTCCTGTTGTAGTGTCCTCTTCTTTTCAACGCTACACGGGGGTTCCGGTTTTCCACTCGTTTTACTTGGAAGAAGATATCCGTCAATATCTACTTCTTTTTCCGTCTTAATTGTTTTGTATACAGTGTTCATAACCATATACTCGTGTGGATCATTTTGTCCAAAAATGTGCACAGTACCTAACGGCTCACACGTTTCATAATGGAAGATTGCTTTGGATGTTAACGCTATATCATGTGGCAACGTATCTGTGTCTAGTGTATTTTCAACAGGGAGGCTTACAGCATCAGTCCTTGCATCATTGGCCGATGAGGCAGTCTTGCTTATAAATGTCGTTTCCATATAGTCGTGGGTGTTTTCACCTTTTGGGGTCTTCAGTACAGATAACTTCCGTTCAGATAACTTCCGTTCGTCCTCAAACAGCCGATTTTCAGTCAATACCTTTAAACGTCGTTCTGGGAGTTTTGGAGGAGCATTCAGATCCTGATAAGTAGAGGATACATCGGTATCCTGTGTAAACACTGTATCCCTATGAATATAACTGTCCGAATTCCTACTTGCCCTTGTTTTTATAGTCCTACGTACACAATATGCTAGTGTTGCCACGAGAAAGACGCTCGAAAGAAATACGCAAAGCCCGATAATTATGGTCAACGTCAGATTTGTATGGAAAATGGTATGGACTGGTGTTCCGCCTGATAAGAAATCATATTGACAATTGTTCAAATATTGTTGAACATCTTATAGATGATATTTTAGGGAATTTAAAGAGCTTTATATAAAAATATTGATAATGTTTAGAGAAAGTGATGGTTAGAAAGAGTATAGTGTTTCGATTCAACCTGGAAACTTAGTTTCCTGAACTATCTGATGCTGGATTATTTCAAAACAATTTTTAAAGGTTTTTAATAGTTGACCTAATAACATCGGAGACTAATTTATTGTCTCGGCAATACCCCCAAGAGGCATATATAAAAACCAATAAAACAGATCCTGCGTTTGGCAGAATTTATCGAGACAGTTGGGGAGGGATGAACGATGGCATTTTTTAAAAACAACTTGCTTCGAACACAATTGAAACCATTATTGTAAACCTAATTTTAAAAAACCCAGATAAGACCTAAGATCCAGGAGAAGCAGAATAGTTGTCATATTCTTGAAATGTTTACCTTTAGGAATGCAAATTACGCTGGCATCTTCGTTGTGGGAGCAGTTGTGTACACCAATGCCGTCATGGTCGCAACGTTCGATGTCAGTTTCTGTACCCTGGCACTGAACTTTATCCAGAAAGATGCTCCCAGATCCTTTTCCAAATCGAGCACCAAGTGGAGCACCTAAAGCTCCGTCAAAGCCCAACATTCTGCAAACAACTTCGGCATCCTTGAGATCCCAGGAATCGCTGCAGACAGTTCCCCAGGAGCCATCGTGTAGAATCTCTACTCTGCCTTCAGCGTTATTAGCTCCTCCAATCAGACGTACTAGAAAAGTTATGCGGTGTATTTTTTAACAAATTGAAATAAAACCATATTTCCTCTAATTAAGAAATCTTTCAAGACATTGCTAAGCCCTCGTTTGGTTACCCAGCCGTAACTCATTTCGACAATAATATGTTCTCAAAATTAATAGCAACAGAAATACATATATATATATATATATATATATATATATATTGCAACTACTGTACTATTTCGTATTTTTGTATCCCAACGTTTGATACGTATAGATCAGGAAGATGTATATCGGTTTATTGCAACTTTTGGCGAGAAAGCTAAAAACGTGTTAACATGAAAAATATCATGTACTGTAGAACTAAATCGTACCTCCTGAGAAACAAATGGCACCTGAATCACTGGCATGAGTACAGTTATGGACTCTTATTCCTCTGTGATAACAATCTGCTATGTTCTTTTCTGTTCCGTAACACTGGACATCACCAAGCAGGACATTGCCATTGCCTTGACCAAACTGTGCAGAAACTGTTGCTGCCAAAGCTCCATCAAATCCCAACATTCTGCAAACAACTCTCGCATCGTCCAGATCCCAGCCATTGTCACAGACTGTTCCCCAGGATCCATTGTACATAACCTCTACTCTACCCTCTAAATCATTCGCTCCACCGTTGAGACGAACCTTCAATGGGTCTATGAAATTTTACAGATATGAAATAAAATGGCAATTTTTAGTATTAGGAGAAAATAAATATTTGCTGAAAAAGGACAAAACGCGATCGGTAGAGCTTCCTAGAAACCAACCCACGAGAAGTGTCAATACCCTACGGTTTACTGCTTGTATATGTAATACATCATTCGTCCCAATTGTCCACAACTTTTTTTAATAAATTATGTTTGTAAAAAAAAAAAATCTAAATTTTGAACAATGAAAATGTAAGACTACAAGTATTATCCCATACCTCCTCTAAAACAAATGGCCCCAGAATCATTTTCGTGTTTGCAATTGGAGACGCCGATCCCTCGATGGTAACGGTCTGCCAGGTTATCGTGTGTACTGTCACAGGATATACCATCAAGTAGTATATCTCCTGAACCTTGGCCAAACGCAGCAGAACCTGGTGCGGCTAAGGCTCCATCGAACCCCAGCATTTTACACACGTCACCTCCACTCGTCCTTCAAGGTCGTTAGATCCATTAACGAGCTGAACTAGAAATGGTGCTGTTGGGGTTGAAGGAATTAAAAAAAAACATATGCAATCAGTTAAATTTGGACTTCTCTCTGTAAAGAAGTCAACAACAGCTAGTAAATAATGAATCCTTAAATATCATAATATGTGTGCAGCATGCGTTGACATTCAACTTAGTTCCTTTTCGTGATAGCGTCTACTGTAGTGACCTATACATACTAATATAACAGTTTCTGCTTTGGATTATAGAACTGCATGTGTGTGTCTATTTTCATTAAAACTTCATGCATATCGATAAGGTAGGAATATAGACGCAATTCCTGTAATAATTATTAAGAGCATTTCAAGACTCTATACTTTCCCATTCATTCATGGAAGAGCATCTACTTTTAAAGTCGACAGGAAAAATAACTTTTGTGAGGTAGAGTGGTGTCGAGTATTGAAAAGTGATTGAATCCTAAAATCATTGTATGGTACTAAAGAATGTATAGACATAACGATACATTTGAAATAACGTTCCATCACTTAATGTACATATACATGAACAAATTGCCAACTAATCCCACGCCCCACGTCGATCGAAACCTAGTAGGATATAGAACAAACGGGAATACAAACTTAGAACACCCCATTGGTCACGTGAAACAGCAAGACCAACACGAGGAAGACCATGAGGTATATGGTAACAACCGTTGAACGAATTCTAAATTTTCAAAGATTTCGTGAACTAATATATACAATCATATTTTCCTACCTCCTGTAAAACAAATGACACCAGCGTCACTGTCATGTTCACAGTTGTTGACTCCAAATCCTCGATGATAGCACTCAGCGAGGGTGTCTTCTGTGCCATTGCACCCAACGTCATCAAACAAGATTTTACCACTTCCGGTACCAAACGTAGCACTATCTGGTGCGGCCAAAGCTCCGTTAAATCCAAGCATTTTACAAACTACTCTTGCGTCTCTTAGATCCCAGTTATCATCACAAATAGTTCCCCAGCTTCCCTTATACAAAACTTTCACTCTGCCTTCTGAATCGGTGGCTCCATTGGCAAGACGAACAAGGAATGGCTCTGTTGTATTTAATTATTGGTTAGAATGAAAGCAGAATAGGTTTATCAGATAAAATGTACATGCTCTTACAAGAAAATGTAATCATGAACCTCTTTTTAAAAATATAGTAAATGGATTGGTTAAGAGCACTCCACGTGATCAGAAATATTTGTAGAACAATTACCCCGTAACGATTACAACGTTTTAATCGGTGAGACGTCGGAGTATAAAGAAAACCTGCCTATAACTCTTACTTGCTTGCGGAGGTCAATTTCGTGCGGCCAACCTTAATGACCGACAGAAGAGAATGCAAAATATACCTGCAGGGGTATATATGCAAATGAGGAAGAATTGTTTAATCCAATGGTAAACCTATCAAACTGAAATCTAAAACCTACCAAATTGGAAATATGGCATATTTCAAACAAACCTCCTGAATAACAAATGGCGCCGGCATCGCGACCATGACCGCAAAAACTATAATCTCCAACCCCTCCATGAGCACAGTCAACCAGGTTATCTTCAGTTCCATCACAGCTAACATAGATCAGAGAAATAGGACCAGATCCTTGGCCAAACTGTGCAGCTCCCGGTGCGTCTAAGGCTCCATCAAAGCCAAGCATTCTGCAAACTACCCTGGCGTCTCTCAGATCCCAGCTGTAATCGCAGATAGTTCCCCAGGATCCACTGTTCAAGACTTCTACTCTTCCTTCAGCCTCATTTGATCCGCCAATTAGACGAACTTGAAATGGGATTGGATGGGCTACACGTGAATAAGAAAGCGAATATACCTTATTTGCATAGTATTATGACAAACGTCATTATAAATGATAGTTAATTAATTGTAATTGTAATGACATTTTTTTTTAGCTAGCAATCCTACAACCAAAGCTTTTGTCCTCATTATACTGAGATGTACGAAAATGTTAGATAAATTAGCATGATCCACCAACCACAAGCAGTATTGGCTTAAATTTATTTGGACTGAAACAAAAATACTAAAGAAAAAAGTGATGTTATATAATTAAAAAAAGTATGAAAATGAAAAAGCCTGATTTAAGCAACACTGTACTAATTGTATCTACTGTACTTCCTGTTTGTAGAATACAATGCCTAATCTGTGACCATTGGTCTCCAATGATCCTCTTTTTCATATGTTAATTGAGAGCCAGACTTGATGAAATAGCCATCTGTCAATGACCTCCCTGGATGGTCTAATCCTCCCTAGCCAAACAGGTACACACCGCCTTTAAAAACATACCTCCTGAATAACAAATGGCGCCGGCATCGCGACCATGACCGCAAAAACTATAATCTCCAACCCCTCCATGAGCACAGTCTACCAGGCTATCTTCAGTTCCATCACAACTAACATAGACCAGAGAAATAGGACCAGAGCCTTGACCAAACCGTGCAGATCCCGGTGCGTCTAAGGCTCCATCAAAGCCAAGCATTCTACAAACTACCCTGGCGTCTCTCAGATCCCAGCTGTAATCGCAGATAGTTCCCCAGGATCCTCTGTTCAAGGTTTCTACTCTTCCTTCAGCGTCATTTGATCCACCAATCAGACGAACTTGAAATGGGTTTGGATGGGCTACACGTGAATAAGAAATGCACACAGATCGTTTATTATTGCAAACATCATAACTTACGTTAGATTTAATTGATTGTTATTGTAACGAGATTTGAAGGAAAATTATTTGCAGTAAGAAATCCTACAATCAAAGCTACTCAGTGTACTTAGAGTCAGTGGCGGATCCAGGGGGGGGGGGGGGCCTGGGGTGTATGGTGAGAGTTATGATGAGAGCCCCTCCCCCCCCCCCCCTGGCAAAAAGAAGAAGGGGAAAAAAAGGGTAAATATTTTATTTTTTTGTATGTGCTAAAGAAAGCAACAGCAAAAAAGTATTCCTCCCCCCCCCCTCCTAAGCCAATGAACGAAATATCTGATGACGTCATTTTCTAGTTTCCGGGGCCAAAAAAAAATTGTTCATCTGACCGTGATTAAATACCTTGAAACGCCTTGACTTCCGGGGTTCCATCCCCTCGATCCCAACAGGGGCCCTAAGGCGGCCCCTGCATGCTTGTTTGACCGTCATAAAACGCCTAAAATCCCTGAGCTTCTGGGGGCTCCACCCCCTGGAACCGATGCCAATTAGTGACCTGCCAGTGTCACAAATAAGGTATCAAATATGCTCATCTGACTGCGGTTTGTTGCCCAAGACCCCTGAGCTTCCAGGGCTCCGCCCCCTGGACCCCACGCCAATTTGTGACTTGCCAGTGTCACAAATAAGGTATAAAATGTGTTCATCTGACGATAATTTAAAGAATAAAACCCCTGAGATTCTGGGGGCTCCGCATCCTGGACCCCACGTCAATTCGTGACCTGCCAGTGTCTCAAATAAGGTATAAAAATATGCTCATCTGACGATAATTTAATGTATAAAACCCCTGATGGTCAGTGGCGGATCCAGGGGGGTAAAAAGGGGGCACGTGCCCCCCCCCCGGCCCCCCCAAAAATGTGTTAAAATCAGCCCTAAATTCGCCCAAAATTTACTGAAAAACAGGGCGTGCCCCCCTGGCCAATCTCTTTCCCACCGTGTGCCCCCGCCCCCCCCCCCGGCAAGAAATTCCTGGATCCGCCCCTGATGGTATCCCTCCATTTACGGGGGTGGGGTGGGGGGGGGCGGGATTGGCTTAAAATCATTTGGGCTAAAATACAAATAATAAAGAAAGAAGTGTTATTGAATAATATAAAAAACTAAAGAAAATTAAAGAGCCTGATTTAAAACCTACCTCCTGAATAACAAATGGCGCCGGCATCGCGACCATGACCGCAAAAACTATAATCTCCAACCCCTCCATGAGCACAGTCAACCAGGTTATCTTCAGTTCCATCACAACTAACATAGACCAGAGAAATAGGACCAGAGCCTTGACCAAACCGTGCAGATCCCGGTGCGTCTAAGGCTCCATCAAAGCCAAGCATTCTGCAAACAACCCTGGCGTCTCTCAGATCCCAGCTGTAATCACAGATTGTTCCCCAGGATCCACTGTTCAAGACTTCTACTCTTCCTTCAGCGGCATTTGATCCACCAATCAGCCGAACTTGAAATGGGTTTGGATGGGCTACATGTAAAGAAGAAGGACACGCATACCTTTTTTGCATAGTATTATGGCAAACGTCATAATAAATGTTACTTATAATTGATTGTATTTGTAATGAATTTTGAATGAAAATTCAAAGTACTGAGGTATACCCAAATGTTAGATTGTTTAGCATGATCCACCAACCACAAGCATTATTGGCTTAAAATCATTTGGGCTGAAACAAAAATACTAAAGAAAAAATATTGTCATATTATAAATCAAGTATGAAAAAAGAAAAAGCTTATTTAAAACAAACCTCCTGAATAACAAATGGCGCCGGCATCGCGACCATGATCGCAAAAACTATAATCTCCAACCCCTCGATGAGCACAGTCTACCAGGTTATCTTCTACTCCATCACAACTAATATAGACCAGAGAAATAGGACCAGAGCCTGGACCAAACCTTGCAGAACCAAGGGCATCTAAGGCTCCATCAAAGCCAAGCATTCTGCAAACTACCCTGGCGTCTCTCAGATCCCAGCTGTAATCACAGATAGTTCCCCAGGATCCACTGTTCAAGACTTCTACTCTTCCTTCAGCGTCATTTGATCCACCAATCAGACGAACTTGAAATGGGATTGGATGGGCTAGACGCGAATGACAAGAAAGAAGAAAAAATACCTTATATTCCTAGAACTATGTCATAATCAATGTTAATTGTAATGAATTTTGAATGCAAAATATTTAAAGTCATAAATCCTACAATCACAGTATTCGGACTCATAATACTGAGGTATACCCAAATGTTAGATTATTTAGCATGAACCACCAACCACAAGCATTATTGGCTTAAAACCATTATTTTGGTCTGAAACAAAAATACTAAAGAAAAAATATTTTCATATAATAAATCAAGTATGAAAAAAGAAAAAGCTTATTTCAAACAAACCTCCTGAATAACAAATGGCGCCGGCATCGCGACCATGACCGCAAAAACTATAATTTCCAATTCCTCCATGAGCACAGTCTACCAGGCTATCTTCAGTTCCATCACAACTAACATAGACCAGAGAAATAGGACCAGAGCCTTGACCAAACCGTGCAGATCCCGGTGCGTCTAAGGCTCCATCAAAGCCAAGCATTCTGCAAACTACCCTGGCGTCTCTCAGATCCCAGCTGTTATCACAGATAGTTCCCCAGGATCCATCGTTCAAGACTTCTACTCTTCCTTCAGCGTCATTTGATCCACCAATCAGACGAACTTGAAATGGGTTTGGATGGGCTAGATGTAATAAGAAAGGCACACATACCATATTTGCATAGTATTATGGCAAACGTAATAATAATGTTAGTTATATTATTGATTGTATTTGTAATGACATTTGAAGGAAGATTATTTGTAGTAAGAAATACTACAATAAAAGCATTTGTACTCATAATACTGAGGTATACTGAGGTCTTAATTTTGACATTGAAGGCTGTCTATAATCAGGCCCCATGATATATGTTTTCCCTGCTAGAAAAATATCATTCTCGTCAGGGTTTACGCTCGTTAGGACTACTTATTCTCCAAGTTCGATGTACAAGACTTAAGGTGTATGGTGATTTGTTTTTAAATTGCATTTATTTAAGTTTTATTCAAAATAGCGGATAGGTAAATTCAATGAAAAAGCTGTTTTCCGAGTACATCCTTAAGGACTACATAACTAACATGTGATATACAAAACAACAAGAAATACATGAAAATACAACATTAATAAAACTAAACATTGACATATAATAAAGAGTACAAAATATATATAACATAAGAAAACAAGTTTACCGGTAGAGGAAAACAAATAACGGAGATTCGACTAATGAATAATTTTGCCAATTGGCATCCGCGCTTAAAAGGTACTATGTCCCATTTGCAGGCCCAAAAAAAGAAAAAGTTAAATTCCAACTGCATTTGAAAGATAATAATAATTTAGAACTTCCATAAAAAAAGTTAGTTTAATCTGTACCCATTACAACTCTTTTCAGTATGCTATTACCAAAGAAGAAAAAAGCCAGTCAGTCACTCAATAGTGTCTGACAATGAAGTCTAGCAAGTAAACGGGTTTCCTTGCATAATTTGAATATGAGGACACTGCTAATGTTTAAATTTCACAAATAGGACATACATGACATATTCATAATTCCTGCAAAGTTCTACAGAATTTGAGGTTGGCTGCAAAAGGGACATAGTACCTTTAATAAATGTGTCAATTGATTCGGATCCGCACTTAAATGTGTTATTTGATTTAGACGATTGAATTGAGAAAGGGAGTTATTAAACAGGCTGCCTTCTGTTCCCCCGCACTCGACACGAAGAACATCACCAGAAAACTGACCAAACTTAGCCGATCGTGGCGCGTCCAGTGCAACGTCGTACCCTAGCGTACCATCCTCGCTTGGAGCAGGCGCGTACGCAGGGGGGGGGGGGTGTGTTTGGGAGGTTAAACCCCCCCCCCTTTGGTATTTTTATGTGTGTAAACCCCTCTAAAAAATCCCTAAACCCCCCCCCCCCCTTCCTTTGGATTTTTTTTTTTTTTTTTTTTTTTTTTAATTATTAAAAAAAAAAAAAAAAAAAAATTACCCCCATGGCTGACCTAAGAAAGGTGACCTTACCCCCCCCCCCAACGGAACAAAATGTCAAATTTTCAAATTTCGAGACCAAAAAAAAAAAAAAAGTGTCCTTTTTATACCCCCCCCCCCCCCCCCCCCCCCCCCCCCCCCCCCCACTGAGCGACTTTTCGGCTGGCTGAGCCGCTGCGATTTTTTTTTGGACTCCCAAAAAAAAAAAAAAAAAAATGTCCGCTTACCCCCCTCCCCCCACTGAGCGACTTTTTGGCCGGCGCGATTTTCAAATTTTCCTGAGTCGTTGCGAAATTTTGGACCGGATTTTAACCCCCCCCCCCCCTTGAAAAAATCCTGCGTACGCCACTGGCTTGGAGCATATACCAGTAATAACTACAGTCAGGCACGTACGCAGGGGGGGGGGGGTGGGGGTCGAACTCAATTTTTTGGGGGCCCCCTTAAAAAAAAAATAATAAAAAAAAGAAGAACAAAAACAAAATTGTGCTAATGAGTGACCAATAAAAGGTGACCCTACTCCCCCCCCCCCCCCCCCCCCAACGGAACGAAACGAGGCCAAATTTCCAAATTTTCGGGACATAAAAAAAAAAAAATGTGCTCTCGCAAGTGCGGAAAAGGCAGAAAGCATGCATAGTCTCCTTGCATGCTAGTCTCCATACGCACCGGAAGCAGTTTGGGATGGGGGGGGGGCAAACGTTTCAGGGGGCTCACCTTCCAGCGGCAGTGGCGTAATGAGAATAAACGTTTAGGAGCCCCGGCATGGTGTCAAGGGGCTGAGCCCCGGAAGCTCAGGGTTTTTCAGGCATTAAATTACGGTCAGATAAGTATATTTAGATACCTTATTTGTGACACTGTTAGGTCACTAATTGGCGGAGAGTCCAGGGGGCAGAGCCCCCGGAAGCTCAGGGGTTTTAGGTATTTAATTACGATTAGATGCGCATCCAGGAGCCCTCTTTAAGGCCATTGATGTGGTCCAGGGGGCAGAGCCCCAGGAAGCTCAGGTTTTTTAGGCATTAAATTACGGTCAGATAAGTATATTTAGATACCTTATTTGTGACACTGTTAGGTCACTAATTGGCGGAGAGTACAGGGGGCAGAGCCCCCGGAAGCTCAGGGGTTTTAAGTATTTAATTACGATTAGATGCGCATCCAGGGGGCAGAGCCCCAGGAAGCTCAGGTTTTTTAGGCATTAAATTACGGTCAGATAAGTATATTTAGATACTTTATTTGTGACACTGTTAGGTCACTAATTGGCGGAGAGTCCAGGGGCAGAGCCCCCTTAAGCTCAGGGGTTTTAGGTATTTAATTACGATTAGATGAGCATCCAGGGGCCCTCTTTAAGGCCATTGATGTGGTCCAGGGGGCAGAGCCCCCGGAAGCTCAGGGGTTTTAGGTATTAAATTACGGTCAGGTGAGCATCCAGGGGCCCGCCTTAAGGCCCTTGGTGGGGGTCCAGGGGGCCTCTTTAAGGCCATTGATGTGGTCCAGGGGGCAGAGCCCCCGGAAGCTCAGGGGTTTTAGGTATTAAATTACGGTCAGGTGAGCATCCAGGGGCCCGCCTTAAGGCCCTTGGTGGGGGTCCAGGGGCCTTTTTAAGGCCATTGATGTGGTCCAGGGGGCAGAGCCCCCGGAAGCTCAGGGGTTTTAGGTATTTAATTACGGTCAGGTGGGCATCCAAGGGCCCGCCTTAAGGCCCTTGGTGGGGGTCCAGGGGGCATAGCCTCCGGAAGCTCGGGGGTTTTAGGTATTCAATTGGCGGTCAGATGAGCATCCAGGGGACCGCCTTAGGGCCCTAGGTTTGGGTCCGTGGGCGGAGCCCCCGCAAGATATGGGGTTTAAGGCATTTAATTAATTTAATTCAGATGAGCATATTGATACCTCATTATTTTTTGACATTGGCAGGTCACTTATTTTTTTTCTCTCTCTTTCTTCCTTTTTCTCTGTAACATACTTTTTCAAAAAGTGAGGGGGGCTTCAGTCCCCAATCCCAGCCGTTTATGCAGGCCCTTACACGAAAGCTTCTAAATAAGCATATCTTTCGCCCGACTGTAAATTTGGGAATTTCTAATTTTCCAACAAACGCATAAAAAGATATGGCTCACAAAAAAAATTGATAAAAAAATACCGGGAAATCATGTCATTTCAGCAACATTTGTTAATCAATCCCAATAAACAGAACACCAAAAAGTAACCTCTTTTGGGAGTGTATTTTAAGTGATTTTAAAGTATAGTGCCTTTTGAACTAGATTTAAACGTTATCGACACGTGCCTTCATTTAAACAAAAAAGGTACTCCTTGTTCACGTTTTCATCTAACCTAAAAACCACCAGTTTATCACGCGACTGGAGTAACGGGATTCCACTTACCTCTGTAAATCAAGTGTTTATGACCAAATAACCACTTGACCAAGGAACGAGTTTTTTTGTCAGTTAACCGATGGTGGCGATAAATACGTAATTATTTGGTCTTGTAAGCACCTTTATTGATTGGTTTCACAGGTTATCCAAGGTTGATGGTAATAATCACGTTACTTACACCGGCTAATCGTCTTATTGTTCTGTCCGTGAATCTCTGGTTATATTCAACTAGTAATTCTGAAGTGTCTTACACACCTCTTTAAAAGGTTTCAAAGTTACCATAAATTTCTTGGTTATGATCACGTGGCTCAAGCTGATTACTAATCTAAGCTGTGAAAACGTGATATGTAGATGTGAAAATTAGTAATTATTAAGTGTTTTAAAACACCTTTTTAAATGGTAGTCAAAGTTGCCATAAGTTCCGCGGTGATGATCTCGCGACTCAAACGGATTATTGATCTAAGCTTGTCATACGTGACTTTTAGGTGTGAAAAATTAGTCATTATTAGGTGTCTTAAAACATCTATTTAAATGGTTTCAAAGTTACCATAACTTTCTTGGTGATGATCACGTAGTTAAAACTGATTACTAATCTAAGCTGTGAATCCGTGATATTTAGGTGTGAAAAATTAGTCATTATTAGGTGTATTAAAACACCTATTTAAATGGAAGTCAAAGTTGCCAATAAGTTCCGCGGTGATGATCTCGTGACTCAAACGGATTATTAATCTAAGCTGGGCATACGTGACTTTTAGGTGTGAAAAATTAGTCATGATTAGGTGTCTTAAAACACCTATTTAAATCGTAGTCAAAAATGCCAGCAGTTCCGCGGTGATGATCGCGTGACTCAAACGGATTATTAATATAAGCTGGGAATTCCGTGTTTTCCATGTGTGAAAATGAGTTATTCTTGGGTGTCTTGATGGTTCCACAGTTACCATTTAAGTTCCGTGGTGATAATCCCGTGACTGTTGGCATATTTCTATGTTCACCAGTTGATAACTGACTGTTGGCATGTTTTCATTGCACCAGTTGATAACTGGAGTGTGCATATTTCCAGTTGCACCAGTTGAAGACTGAGCGTTGGCATATTTCGAGTTGACCCAGCTGACACCAATTCATTTGCATATTGAATATGGGGTGCGTGTAGATCTATGTTTTTTAAACAATTTATCTGAATTTACAGCATATTTCTTAATTACTGATGATTTAGTTATATGCAATTCATTTCGAAAATACTACAAATATAAATTACCAGTTATTAGGACATTTCGCTACTTCGTATAAATAGTTAAACATGAATAAGGGAAACATTAACTATGAACTAAAATAATTTCAAT